AGGGATGTGAACCATTGGACAAAAAAAAGGGCTCAGGTCCGGGTTCGGGTACAGGAATTAAATTTGAGAAGATCCGGGTCCAGGTTCAGGGAACATAAAAATAATGACTCATTATTTGTTTTATTCATTTATTATTATACTTCTATACATATTCATAATTTACAAATTAAAAATTTAAAAATGAAATAATTTATTTTTTGAATGTTTTATTCTCCTCGCACAATATTAATATCTTCTAAAATGTCATATTTGAGATTTCCACGTAAAGTAGACAATATATATTTCAAAGATGAAAATTGACGTTCTACCCTTACCTAAAATAGATAGTTATCTTTACTTTATACCTGTGTCGCCGGTACTGCCATGAAGATTCTAGATAAGATATATAATTCTGGATATATTGAAGAATTTTCTTCTCAGAATTTTAAAATATTTATATCCTTATTATTTATTCTCTTAACTTCTGAAAACTTTACTATTAAAGATGCAATAGGCATTTTTGATCCTCCTTTCTATCTGATGATATGATTTTTTCCTCTATCTAAAAGTAAAATTTCAAGATCATCAATGTTGATATCATTAATATTATTATCACTACAACCAATAGGTATTGTCTTAGCCTCCAATATATTGTAAATAAAGGAGTTTTGCTTATGCCATAAATCCTTAAGATGGTATTTAGCCATTTGTTTTTGCTAAATACTCAATAAAACTTGATATCGAGGGTCTAAATATATAGAAGCGTATACAACACTATTTTGCACATATTGTTGCTCTCGAATTTTTATGTTTTCTAATATTTCGTATAAAAAGGACTAACTTTTTTTAAATCTAATTGGTATCTAATCCATATGCCTTAAAATCAACTAAACATAATTGTTCTGATTGTAATCTTAATATTGTTATTTTTAAAGAAACTAATACACTAGTAAGGTCTTTTATTTGGCACCAATCATCTTCTGACATATTACAGAAATCTATCAAACTTAATAATCATTCTAGCATCATACAAATTGAGGACCAACGTGTTGTGCATTATCATTTGAATTAAAATATTATTACTTGTACTACAAAATAATTCCCTTTCAAAATAATCAACGTATTTCTATAACATAGCATATTAATAAATTTACATAATAAAATATTATTACACTGGAAGATAATTTATGCTATCAATCTCTAAATAAAATGGAAGTCCAGGAAGAAAATTGGAAGAAAAACGCGGAGATAAAATAAATGATTCCACAAAAAAAGTTAATAAAATTTTAAAAAAATTTATATTATTTTTTAAAAAAATATTTTTATTTTTAAAATTATTTATGACACATAGAACCCTTGGACCCTCCACTTTTAAAAGGGGTTCGGGTTTAGCCAAAATACGAGGGTCCAGTAGGGTTTAGGGTCCGGGTTCGGGTTTACATCCCTGATCTTAGATTGTAAACTGAAAATATTAATTTGCATTTCCTTAGCAATGTTTTAAATTATTTACAAAATGATAATTTATTAATGACTACAATCTGAATGTAGCAAAAGGTCTTCCGATTGTAATAGTTATAAATATTATCGACAGATAAATTTTTTCTCCCTGGTGGAAATTTTATTCACTGAACTGATTTATGTGTGTATACTACTAGATTAGCAATTCATGCATTTAAAAATGTTAATATAAATAGTAGTCATTTGTAACATCATTTTATGGCGCTTACGTCCATTAAATGGTATTAATGTGCATTAATATAATGATCGAGATTTAGAAATATCATTGTATTATAATAGGTCAATAATTAAAGTATTAAATAATTTTTTACAGCAATATATTTTGCCCTATTTCATCTAAAAATTTATTAGATAACCCCCCCACCCTAACCTAAAATAAATTTATCCTACCAAAAGTCTTCTCTCTTATCTAACACCCTTTAACTGCCTTCCCTCTACCTCTCTTAAGAAAATCAAACTGCATCTCCCATCCCTCCACTCATGGAGATGCTGTCTCTGCCTCTTCAAAAAATTTGGAAGCAAAATGCTACCCCATCTTCCCACTAACTCACCTGTTCATGTAGACTTTGTTAGTAATATATGAGGCGAGCATTAAAATTTGATAGTTAATTTGATTACAGAAAAAGGGGAGGTAATTAAAATTTCTCACTTAAGCTGTAAACACAGCAGATCAATGACATATATTAATAATATGTCATTGCAGCAGATAGAAATCATCCAGTCACATCTGATTATTGTTGGGATGGTGACAGATTATAGAATTAGAGATTTTACTTGATAACCGAAATTAATAAAAATTGCATTGATATTATCTGAGTAGATCACAATTCCATATTGTTTTAAACCATTATGTAAGAATTATAAATCAAGGGTTGGGTATATGAAAGCCCATAAATGCTAGAAATGATATTACATAAAAACGGTTAAATATTATGATCTGGATTCTTCAGTAGCTTCATCAAATTTACCTTAAAATCTATATTCCAAATTTCATATATTTCGGTTGAGTAGTTTTTAAGATATAAGCATTTTGTGACTGATTGTGCTTTATGAGACCCCACCAGAGTAAATTTGTAATTTTTAATAAATTTAAAAAAAAATTTAAATTATAAATATATACTACTATATTATAAAATTTTTTAAAACAAAATTTAAATATCTTTTATTTTGATTGAGATATATGAAAAAGAAAACTTAAACATTTCTTTTGGTGGAGTTATTTTACTTATTTTCACCATCTGGCTCATTTCTCAAATTATTTTATCATATACTATGATTTTTGCAGTTTCTGATATTAAATAAAAAATTATTTAATATGTAATATCATTTTATTTGAGGTGATTATGACTATGTAATTGATTGTGGAAGAAGATTTTATTTATGATAGTGATCATGATACACAAGCTGAATTAGATGATGAAGAATATAAGCTAGTTGAAACAGACAATAAACTTAAATATCATTTAAGTAAATATGGAATTATTTATCATATCTATTTCTCTGTAAAATTAGCTAAAAATACGGTGACTCAATGGAAAAAGGATTGTCCAAATCAAAGAGTAAGAACACGTCAACAAAATTTAATTTTTAATATGCCAGGAGTAAATGGGAAAGAAGAAAAATGTTTGATTTGTTAATATCACCAAAAATGATTGAAGAAATTATTTATCATACAAATGAAAAAATTAAAATTATATGTAAAAACTACACTGATCAATATGAAGGTTCTACTAAAGAAGTTGATATAATAGAATTCAAGACATTATTTGGAATTCTTTATTTAGCTGGAATTTTCAAATCAAATTATTAAAATATATCAGATTTATGGAAATCTGATGGGTTTGGAATTGAGATATTTAGAGCAACAATGACACTCAAAAGATTCAGATTTCTAATCCATACAATAAGATTTGATGACATATTAACAAGAGAAGAGAGAAAAATGGTAGACAATACTTCTTATAAAAAAACAAAATATTTTTGTCAAATATATAAAATAAATTTATGTTTAGAACACATTAATATTTTATGTAATAAATGTTTTGCATGTCTAGCAATTCAATGTTCTATATTTTTTTTATATTTAATGTATTAGTGTAATTTCTTTTTTTTATATTGAAGAATAAAAATCCATATTATGAATTATCATAATTATAATAAGTTATTTTTTTAATTTTATATTTGAAATTTAAAAAAAGAAAGCTTTTTTTGAAAATATTTGGCACAAATTATAATTATCCTCATCATCTTTAATCTAGGCTTAAGAAATAAAAATATTTAAATGTCAAGCTTAAGGTTAGATCTATCTTATATCTAAATATCAAATGAAAATAATGAATATAACTGGAGATATATGCATTTGAAATTGGGGTCTATTAAACCCTCCCGAGTACTAACGTCATTTTTTTCACCTGAGTATTGAAGGGTTAAGGATAATCCTTCAAATCAACAAAATATTGCCGTTTTAAATTTCACATCTAATTATCAATTTGAAAACTTTTGAATGGTTAATGTCTGATCAATTATAATAAACACTGAAATTTTCATTAATTATTTTTGAATAGCTGCTATATTAGTATTATTGGAATATAGACATTAACCAATATCCTCTCCATTTTTTACCTTCAGTTCTATAAACGCCAGTTCTTCCTCCCAACTCCATCTGTGCCCATTACCTTGTGAAACACTGTGGGAAAGATTCTGCATCTAATATAAAATTTATATTGGATTTCGATTTGAAAGTATAGTGATAATGAAATAAAAAAAATATCAACCCAGGAGATAAATTGAAATATTGCAAATATACAATAATATAAATACTATTCGTTTTTACAAATCAAATGAGTATATTATATTAAATCATATAAATTAATTAATTCCATATTTGTATTAGTAAGAATAACAAAAACAATATTCGACTTGATTTGTCGAAAATTCGATTCGATAAGAAATTAAAAATATATAAAAAAAAAATTATTAAATTTAAAAAGGTGATTTAATTTATGGATAGGGAAAGTAAAATATAAAATTCCCTCAAGAAACATGTTCTATTAATAATAATTTCAAATGTGAAATTAATAATATGTATATATAAATTAAGAATGTTTACAAATAATTTCTAATAATTAAAAATTATTTCGAATATAGAAATTCAAAATATTTTTGTTATCATAGAATACAAATCGAATATCTTTATTATCATAGAATACAAATTGAATCTAATAAAATTGAATCGAATAAAAAAATAACCAATAATTTTTTTTATATATATAAAACTTAAAATTTGAAATAAATTAAATGAGCCTCAAAATTTAAATCTAGAATACAAAAAAATTACTTCATATATTATTTTTTGCAAATTAAATGAATAATATTAAAGTTACTTCATATATTAATATTTTATTATTACAATCCATAATATAAGATTATTTTTCAATTAATATACAAATATATTATTTTGATTTCAAATATTATTAATTAATATTTTTTCCTTGGGATTTTATTTTTAGATCGTTCATTTTATTTTCGCCGTTGTTCTTAAATTTATATATTTTTTAAGATTGCCAAACAAAATAAATTGTATTAAAATAATCAAATCTATGTCAACAACAAAATCCCATTCTAAAAGGAGTACATTCTCGACAAATAGTACTAATTCTACGCCACGTAATAGGGACGACAATTCAAGCCCAGCCAGAATATCTAGATTACAGGAGAAAGAAGAGCTACAGCATCTTAATGATAGGCTAGCAGCTTACATAGATAAAGTTAGACACCTGGAACACGAAAATGATAGGCTACTTTATCAAATTCATTCTTCTGAGGAAACAGTGAAAAAAGAAATTACTAATATAAAAAACATTTATGAAACTGAACTCTCTGATGCTAGAAAATTATTAGATGAAGTTTCTAAAGATAAAGCTAAATTACAAATTGAAGCTGGAAAATACAAAAGCTTGGCAGATGATTTTGCTATAAAGTAAATTTATTTATTATAAGAATTTCATCTAATTATATTATTTTTTTCTTTTTAGCTTTCACTTCTGGTGATAAGCTCCTTTAGTATCTCTCCACTTTATCTTATTCATACTATCTCTTTTATCTAATTTATATTTCTTTTCATTTGGTTTATTAGACAAGCATCCTTTCACCTGGCTGTCCAAGCCTGTCAGTGACTGGGGTGGATAAGCTCAGAAATTCATCTTATCATATGTCTTTAGATATCAGTCATCGAAGAAAAACCTGAAAATTTTTACATTTCCTTATCAGGATTAGACCTACTACTTTTTACTTCCAAGCATACATCATAAACCCACTAAACCACCCTGGCAACTCATCTAATTTATATAATAAATATAAATATTTTAATTTTTTTAAGATAAGAATATAAAAATATTTGATAACATTAAATTTCATATAACATAAACCAAGGTTATTAACTTTTATGATTTAAAAACATTACCCCAGTTGTTGGGTTTATTTTAAAACCATTGAAGTTTTTAATTCAAATTAATTATAATAATTAAAATTGTTCTAAATATTTTCAATTTTTTTTCTTAAAAAATAAAATCAAAAATTCAATTATGAATGAGTCATCAATGAGATTTTTTTTAGAAAAATGCTAATATCATAAATTATGCAAATCATCTTATCTTATCAATAATATTTTTTATAAATTATTATTTGGATGAGAATTTTTTTCAAATGAATGTTGAATCTCATTTGACAAACTTGTTTATAAAATATTTGATTTTTTTGGAATAGATATTTTTCCCACCATTTTTTAAGATATTTGATTTTTTAAAATATCTACAATTTTTTTTTAATAAAGTATTATTTTAATAGATTTTTTTGATAATATAGAATCTCTTAAGTAGTGAAAGCCATATTTTATTTTTTGGATTAAATTTGTTCCTAATACACTTAAACTAGGGTGGACTAATACTCTTTTCAGCCCATTACTTTTATAAGATATAAATTTATTTAAATTTATAATATACTTAATTATATATTAATGAAATTATACTTTATATAATAAATAATAAATTAGCTATTTAAAATTTATTATTGGTCACTTAGTACCTCAGGAATTGGAGGACATAATAGAACCATTTTACTTTCAGCATCATTTCAAAGCTTTATTCATAAAGGCTCATTCATAGATTTCTATAATATCTCATTCTCATTAATTTTTCTTATCTAGAGTGCAATATTATTTAAATAAAAGCATTTTTTCAAAAGATGTAGCACATTTTTTAATCTCCATCTTTTTTGCATCCTCTTTTTAGATGGCCTCAAAATCTCTATTTATGACTATCAATCCATTGTAATTGACCTCGACCAGACTATCAATCCATTGTAATTGACCTCGACCAAATACCTTGAGATATTTTTTTTAAAAAAATAAAGTGATCAACACTTATTTTTCTCATCTCCATATAAAAATTAAAGAAAGATAGGACTGAAAAAGGCATAATTAAAAAGCAGAAGATTATAAGGACTGGAAAATAAAATAATTTTGTCTGAATGCTCTTCGAAAGAATAAATCAAACTTTAGAATGCAATATTATGAATGCATCCAGATTTGGCAAATATATGTCCAAGCATTTCTGCCAGCTATGAGCAAAATCTTTAGGCTTACATAATGTTATTTTAGTTATAATCTTTGTACCATTTTAAAATCAACCTGAGACAAGTTTTTTAATAACACTAAGCAAACAAGCTTTTTTGATCAAATTTTATCTTAAAACTCCAATTTTTGTGTAAAATTGTTTTTATAAGTAAATCTTTTGTGATTCAGAATAATTTAACATTTTTCCTTATCCTACATCCAATCAAGTCTGAGAAAATGTCTTCCCAAATTTCAGGGTTTATTTAAATCATTGATATTTTTAAAAAACTCACTTGACTTAAATCACGATATTTTTATTTCCATACTCATCCAAATTCAGTAGCAAGATTGAAGTTTAAATTGGTGTTATAGAGCCAGCCCTGCATTGAATCCATTTTTCAGGCCCTCCTGATACAAAATTATTATATAGAAATAGATTCCACAATCCAATCCAATTATTTTTTATTGCACTGTTTAAATTGGAAAAATGTCTGCCTGTCTGATTAATCCAAGTTAAATTGATTGGATTCTAATTGGTTCCTGCCAAAGCTCTAGTATATTTCTATTTAATAAGGATTATAAATTTCATTTTGAATTCAATTATTAATAAAAATTAATTTTGTCAGCCACATTCTGATTTAACTGGCTAAAAATAAATCCTTATTTTTCAAAATTGCAATGAATTGCTTCTTTCTGAAAATGGTGCATCAGATTAGTGTTGTTAAAAACCTCAATTTTATTTTTCAAAAATGCAGAGATACACTCATGCCACTTTTCCCATATTTAGGGTTTTAAAAACCTCTATTTGCATCAATTTTTGAGACAACTGATTGGTTTTAGTCAAAATATTTTTTTCTAAGCCTTGAGATTTGGCAAACAAGGTCCAAACCTTTCTGCCACCTGTAAGAAACATTTTCAAGCTTACATAACATCATTTTGGCTAAAATCTTAATCAGGTAGTTTTTAAAAATCGACCTAAATTCGGCTTTTTAACAACCCTAGCCATACCTATACCATTACATTATTGGATGATATAAAAAAAATTAATTATCTAAAAAAACGAAGTTTGTTTAGAATAGTATTACATATTGCAAATTGGGATATAGTTAACCATTAAGATTTTAAGCTAAAAAATTGAAAGATTTTTTGGATGAAAATATATTATAATAATATGACATATAATTAGAATAATAATTTTAATATAATATTCTTATTGTGTAAATATTTTATAAAAGTAATTTAACAATCACTTGACAAAATAAATTTTAGATTTAAATTGTTAATAAAAAATTTAATGCAGATTTCCAAAATTTATATTTTATTTGATTATATTATAATTAGAGGTGTACTGTGCCGATATCATTTTTTGGAGGCCGACCCGATACCATATTGGATATCAGCCAATTACCAATCCAATATCACTAATCTGATTTTTCAATTCATGATCATTATAAATTGCTAGAATTTTAAAAAAATTAAATTTTAAAATTATATACAATACTCTTAAAAATGAATTATGCATTTTATCATATTTTTAACATTTTCAATGATTTTTTTTAAAATAATCATTTCAATTATACAAGAATGTTCTTACATTTAAATAATTTTCTTAATATTGATATATATAAAAAAAAAATTAAATTAAGATGCCATTTTATTGGATTTAAAAGGGTTAATATAATCATATTGGCAAGTATAGTTGGGTAATTACTATATTTTTAGACGTTTAAGCCAATTTTTAGTCGGCTAAGCCAAGTTTTTAGGCGAAAACTATCACCTTTCCACGTGGTTTTTCTTAAAAAGGCAGCAACTCAAACGCTTTAATGTTAACGGATTTTATGGCAGGCGCCTGAAGATTAGGCATAATTAGCCGACATTTAGCCATTACCAACTATAGTGACAAGTAATATATACAATAAAAAATATCGGTACATCCCCAATTATAATATAATGATGTAATCTTACATTTTTGAAAGATAATAAACATCATATATATCTGGTACACATTTGTATTAGTATTACAAAATACCAAACTATAATTCTTATTACACATTTGTATTAGTATTACAAAATACCAAACTATAATTCTTATTATTAAGAGAAAAGAATATTTAAAAGGGCTTAAATATTTTTACATTATAATATTTCTTAATTATTCAGAATTTTTATTTGTTTCACGTATTTTAAGCCCTATCTTGTTTTAAAAAAAAATAAAAAAAACATGCAAAATTATTACGTAATTTCAAAAAAAACATGCAAAATTATTACGTAATTTCAGGGAATTAAAGCGCATGCGTTTTTGAAATTGTTTTTAAAAAGAAATCGTCTGTAAAATTTGTAATTGATATTGTTAATAAAAAACTCATCTAATATATATTTTCTTTTTAAAGTTTGATGACATATTTTCATTTTATAAATATCTCATTACATTTAATTTACTATAAAATTTCATATATAGATATTGTATATATAAAAAAAGGATGACTAAAAATTGTTTGAATTATACTATAAAAAAATGTACGAGTTTAGGAGGGTAAAAAAAATAAACCAGAAAAGGGACTAGATAATATATTTAAAAAGAATGAGAAAGTAAAACCCGAGAAGTTGGAATACTGATTGAAATTTGAACGACTGATCTCCAAAAAAATCCTTAAACCCCTCATTGTGATGGATTGCTTATTATTTTTCTTTAGCAACCTCATGGCCGAAGATTCCTAAATTATTGGTGGCAATAGGGAAGAAAATCACTTTTAAATTCTTTTTTTTTGATAGCCAGTTTTAAGTGTTTTCTTTCAATCTTAGCTTCCTTCTCTTCATGTCATAGTATATTTATTTAAGATTTTCTTCCATAGCAAGTTTTTTTATTATTATAGTATAGAAAAGAGTATATAATAAGCTGTTGTATAACGTTCCTTAAAAACGCGCAATAAAGCTAGTATAGCCACCTGTCCTATCCCACCTAACTCATCTTTCGGACTCAGCATTTTCTTAGACTATCCCCTAACCTAAAGCTTATTCTGGCCAGACTTAAAACACCAAAAAATTATATATTTTCTTTAGCGCATAATATTTTCCGCCTTTCTTTAAAAATAATCTTACTTTTTCCTTTGTTTATATATATTTTTCCTGATCTTACATGAACTACAGTAAAAATTTGTCTAATTTGGGCTTTTGACAATTCTGGTAACTCCGTAATTTGACCAAAATTTTGAGTCCCAATCATTCCTATTTAACTACCATTAGAAAGGTAAAATTCTTAATAAATTGGGAAACTGTTTACGTTGGGCAAAAATCTTCGTCTCTATTTCCTAAATACGGAATTTTTAAAAAAGTAATCACATATGTAGAACAAATTTTTTTTCCCCATATTGGGCTGAACCTAGAAAAAGAGGTCCTATATAGTTTTTCTAATGACGTCAATCTAAATTAAGTATTTTTTTTATAGTTTGGACACATTTAATTTTTAACAATACGACTAACCCTTCATTCACAGTTTGAGCGAATTTGCGGAAAAATATACACTTGAATGCAGGGTAAAGATGGGGTCTATTAAACCATTATAAATTATAAACCTGATGCTTGAGTTTTTCCCAATGGTTTAATTTTTTATCTGGTAGTATATGACTACCAAATTTAATTATTTTTCGAATCATTGTAAATTTCTATTCACAATGATGACCATTTCTGTTAAGAAATTTTTTTTAAATTAAAATTGAAAATAAAATATTAATTCTAATTTTTATTAGTTATCGTAGTTCTGAGCGAGGAAGATGAGATTGAAAGTAGCAGAGGGTTAGTATATATTATCAAAAATATAATTTAATAATTGATCAACTTAATCTCTCAGTTCAAAACAATGACTTTCCCTATTTCCTACCCTTTATGTATAAACAATATATTTGCGAATAATTTATAAAAAGAATATTTAATATTAAAGTATTAGCTACAGATAGTTGATCACTTCTTTCATGATTGCTAGACATAGAAATGTGCGATTATGCATTTTGGGGTGTATTATAGGAAATATTCTCAATAGAAAGGAGTTAAAGCTCATTACTTAGTCAAAGAGGAAGATGTAATTCTTCCCCAAGGATGAAGGATAGATAACCCAATTTTAAATTTCAAAATTGTTCAACTTTTATTATGATTAAAATTTTTTTATAAAATTAATCTTTAATATCAGTAATGTTGATAAAGAAGTTTATAAAATTTTGAATTTACTTTATAATATTTTCTAAGATAAGGCAGCTTGAAAAATTAGAGAATTGACACCACCACTTTCTCACTAGGCCCCTCCCCCTCATATTTTCTCTGAAGGGTTAATATTTAAAATATTTTTTAAATATAAATACTTAAAAATTAAAATTATCATTTTTTAATAGTTCTTTAAATTTATTTAAAAAACAATGCTCCTCTATTATTGCATGCTTTTAAATACTAACATTTATTTATTTTTTGATTAAAAAAAACATGCAATACAAATTTCATGTGGTTTATATTAGTAAAATCCATAGTTTTCCTTTAACTTTTTTTTTGGTGATCTTCCCCTTTTTTAAATATTTACAATAAATTTATTTTATCTCACATGATTTTATGTTCATCGGATTATGTTTGAAAGCTTCTTTATTTAAAATGTTTATTGATAGATAAAGAAAATATTTTTTTATAAATTTGCCATTGATAAAAATCATATAAAAAAAGAAATTTATACCCCCTGGGCTTCACAAAAACAAGGCAGAGATCGATTGCAAAAAATCAAACGGATCGAAGATATTTTGAAAAATCTATCCGGTCCGGACCGCTCACACATAATCTCGCATATTTAAAAATACATAAACCGTAGTTTTTCAGTTTCTGATGCTTAAAATGCACCTCATGCTTGGCGGTAAATTGATCCGATTATTAGCCATTACTTAACTATGCCGCGTAACTCATCTAAAATCTAAATATTTTATAATTTTAAGATCTACAAATAATAAATTCATTATTTTTTTTAAAAGAATAAAATATTTATAAACTTTTTGGCCTTGAAAAAATGGCAATAAAAAAAATATAATAAAAATAAATATATTGAAATATTATTTATTTAAAAAAAAACGTTTAATAATAAATCCTTCATGAGTCAATTTTTTTTTTAAAAAAAAAGGAAATAGTCCTAAAAAAATCGATAAAAGCCTTTTCATCATAGTAGAACACTATTTATTAAAACCGTATAGCAATTTACTAAATAATGACCAAATTTTATTAAAATGCAATCCATTTTTAATGTATATTAATTTTGTCTAGTCCAATTTACCCTAAACATTCCCCGCAGTAGAGAAATACCTTTGGTTAATTTTAGAAAGACTCGTCATGCCTGGACTCTAATCCAGGGCGAACCTAAAGTGTCTTAAGGTCTCTAGTCTCTGAGCCACACGCCACTAGAAAACAGCGACTTTTTTATATATAATAATTTCAAAACATTATCATAACTCAAATCCATCATTGAACATTCGCGCGGGAATTGTTTTAACGTTATATAGTAATCATGCTTTTGAAAATTATTATTTAAAGAACCTTTGTCGTGATTAGTGAATTTAATGTAAATGTTGGTTTATCTAAATCACTGTTTTGTTTCCTCTTCTTGCCATCTAAACTAAATTAAAAAAAATTTTTTAAATATTATTTAGTACATTATCTTTATCATCCATTTTAAAAATTTTGTCTATTTCTCGCTACATAAATTGTTTAACAAATATTAATGGTACTTAAATGATGGCTTGATTGGCTAACTTAGATAAGGTTATTTTATCTTTTTTTCCACCTATTTTTTTTTAAAAAAAGTTGTTTTAGGTATCAGATATCACGCACAATTTGTTAATGTTTTGTTATTACCTTTTATAAAAAAAGGTAAATAAATATGTAAAACACAGAGAAGACAAAAGGAATATATTTTACACTATGCGTCGGCTGAGCATTATAGTGTTCTATATCCACTTTATTGCAAAATGCTTTTTTTTATAAATGAATTCTTCAAGTATTATATTTTTATATATCCATCATAAAAATGTTAGAATATAATTGAGATTATACCTTTATTTGCATTTTGTATCCTTGAAGAATTTTTAATAAATGGATATAGAACATTATATTACTCAGCCGACTAATGCTATTTATAATAAAGAATGCCTACGGGTATAATTGCTATGTCTATTCATCAAAGCCATTTGAATTATTTAAATTAGAGAGGAAGCAGAGGGACACCTTTTAGACCCAACCCCACATTTTTCGAATTTTGATCATTTTACGGCTTACGCTATGGGAAAATGTTATAATTTGGTCATTTTAAATAATTTTATACATGGATTTTTTTATTTTAGTTTGACCCAGACCCCTATTATATCTACAAAAATATGAAACGAATGGAAAATTTGGATTATTCATATTCGTTCGAATTGAATAATTTCTCATTTATATTCGTATGAGTAACGAAGACATTATTCGATTTGATTCGTCGAATATTCGATTCGAAAATTAAATTCTTTAAAAATATATTCAAAATTAAAAAAATCGGAGTAGAGAATTCTTTAAATATAGAAATTTTAAATTGTTTATAAAGGATTATTTTTACTAAACATATTTGGAATTTTAGGTAAAACTTAATCAAAAAAATCTTTATTCTTTAAAAAGATTTTTTTCCAAACTTTGGAAAAATTGTATGATTAAAATTTTAAAGGTGATTTATAGATATGGAAATAAAGTAAAAAAATATAAAATGTTTTATAAGGAAATTAAATACTCATAAATAATTTTAAATATTTATGAATAAGTTTTAATATTTATGAATAGTTTCGAATATTTATGAATAAGTTTTAATATTTACGAATAGTTTCGAATATTTATGAATAATGTCGAATATTTATGAATAATGTCGAATATTTACAATGAATTTTGAATAGACTATTTGACGAATAATATATTTTCTTTATTCAATTCAAATCAAATAATTTGGTTATTCGTAAGGTAATACTCCCGATTTAGATATTTGAGATTCCACACCATCTGATTTTAATGCATATTCAAAATATCTTAAATCTTCAGGATAGTTAAATAAATCGCCGTAATTTTATAGACCCCCCCCCCACATGACTACGATATTTTTCACCTTACTAATACTACTTACGAGTCAGGTGATCCTAAGTTGATCAAATATTTTTAAAATTTTATTATATATATTTTTTGGTTTCCTTGATTTTAATCCCTTGTTTTTATTAAATAATTATTTTATAGGTTGGGAAGGAAGGAAAGAGAACTAAGGGAGGCCGAAAAGGTGATCGCCAACATGGAAGGAGAGCTCAATGATCTCAAGGGCAAATACAATTTACTCCTAAACGACAAGAAAAAAATGGAGGAAGAAAATAAGGTCACTATATTTTTTTTATCTCGAAAGGATATATGGTACGTTGGCCACATTTAAATAGGGTAGCGTCAAAAATGCGATTTTATATTTTTAAAAATTACATGAAAATTAGGCATCACCCTATTCGGTTCGTTTTTTGTAGTGCTCCAAATTAACGTCGATGAAAATAACATAATTACTAACAGCTTTACCTTTTTTGACTTGTTTGAGCAATGGTAACGCAAAACGTTACTCGTTACTTTAAATTTTTTCTTAAAAAATATGGAATATTTACAGTAGTTTTTTTGAGCAAAATTTCTTATCTTGATTATATTTAATAGTACTCAAATCGCAATCCTAATTTACATCAAAAATTGGCGTATTATAATTATATTTCCATGTTTATAATGCAGCAATACCGATTGGACAATATGAATCTAGAAAAGCAATTGGCCGTAGCCAAGAAGCAACTAGAAGATGAGACATTGATGAGAGTGGATTTAGAGAACAGAATTCAAAGTCTGAAGGAGGACTTGGAATTTAAGAAAAACATTCACGAAAAGGTTCATTTATTTCTGAAACGATTGTTATCACAATAATTTTTAGTATAAAAAATTTGATGGTTATTTTTTTTTATTGATTCGTTCGTCTTTCACTTGGCATTTTTTTAAAATTAATTTTTATGACATCTTTGAGGTTTTTTAATCTTAAATTATTTAAAATGAACATTTTAGCACGCAAGAATATTTTTTCTTACCTTTTTTAACTTTCGAAAATAAAGGTTGCCAAACGATGAGTAGTAATAGATGATTTTTTAAATTAAGGAAATAACCGAAGTACGAACCAGGAGAGAAATGGCGATACGAGAGATTGACGACAAATTGCAAGAGGAATACGAACACAAGCTCGAAGACGCTTTAAAAGATATGCGCTTTTACCACGATAATCAAATTCAAATGGCCAAGGACGAGATCGAGGAAATGTACCAATCGAAGGTTTCTTGCTATATTTAATATCTTTTTTTAAAAGAAGTGAATTTTGGAATTTATAAGTTGAGGAGTTGAGAAAAAACGAGAATAAAAAGAATGTTAGTATCGGCCAATTTTAATAGGTTATGGTATATACCAATCCAGACAATTTTTTGGAATCTTTAGGATAAGATTAGTTAGAATGGAAAATATCCGAAGTAATTTCCCAGCAGTAAATAATGATAAAGAAAGGGATACAGTTTAACGTTTCCTAAAGGGTAAAAAATGGTAAAAAAATTTACGCCCATTATAATTTTTTTATGAATTTCCTTCTCCCAATTTAAAGATGGCCGACATGCAAGGATGTAGTGAACGTGACGCCGACGCCAATACAACCCTGCGTTCCGAACTTTATTCGCTCAGAACTTCAGAAGATAACTTAAAATCGAAATTGAGAGATCTCGAATCGGCCCTTACCTCGGCCCAGGGCAAAATATCCGATCTTGAAGAGAATTTAAACCGAGAAAGGACCGATAGGGATCGGTCTATTAAGGCCAGGGACGAGGAGATAAAGAGACTGAGGGAGGCTATGTCCGACTACCTGCTGGAATATCAGGAACTTATGGATATCAAGCTGGCGCTTGATATGGAACTCGCGGCCTATAGAAAGATGCTTGAAGGCGAGGAAGCTAGGTTAATTATCCCCAGTTTATAATTTGCAGAGCTTTTCCTAGGATAATACTCACAAGTCTAAGCATTAAAAATGGATATAAAAAGCTAAATCATTGCTTGTTTTTTATATTTTGTCTCAGGCTTAACCTAACTCCCTCATCTCACAAAGCTCATTCTGCCTCGACGCGCTCTTCAGTCGAGACTCAAAAGACTTCCGCTTCCTCTCAAGTTTCTTCGCCTAAAGATTTTCAAACGCCCGTGGTTCACCTGACTGCTGGCGGGCATCAAGGGACAGCGAGTGTAGGCGGTAAGCGTAAGCGAAATTACGAAGAAACTTTGGAGGAAGATACAATGAGCACGAGCTTTAAAGCCACCAGAGGTGTCAGTAGCCAAGAGCATTGTGACGTGGAGATTGCCGAGTCAGACCCAGACGGTTGTTTTGTCAAACTCGTCAATCGTTCTAACAAGGTTTGCTTTAACTCCAGTTTTTTAAAATACTTTCCTATTTCTCATTTCAGTCATCTTTATTTTGCGCGCATATTTTTTAGGTTGTCAATCATTATAAAAATAGTTTCACTTCTTACTCTAACCTATTTTATCGTAGTACCCTATTTTATCTTTCGATACTTTAAACAACTTTTTACACTATTTATAATCATCGTTTCATTCCCACTCTTTATCAGGACATTCCGCTCGTTGGTTGGACCGTTACCCGCACAGCTAAAACTAGTCATAAAAAGACTACCCAAGATACCGGAACGGATAAAAAAGTTTCGGGCAAAAAAGAAACGGTAAACCTAAGAATACCAATTTCTAATAATTTTCGTTTTTGTAATTAATATTTTTTACACAAATTTATATCAACTTTATACATTTAGAAGCTGATTATAAAGCTTCTATATATAATAGAATTAGTTATTTTATTTTTATGACCATTTACAAATAGGTCTCTTCTGACACGCAACTATCGGAACCTGAATCTGGAGAAACGGAAAAGGAAAGATCCGTGAGTCATAAGATAACGAGGGGATGCTTACTTAAAGCCAAGGGAGGTTCCCTTACAATTTGGTCCCCGGGCCAAGGTACCCCGCCAGCTAACGACCCCCCTACCCATTTGGTAGTTAACTTGACCAAACATCAGGCCTGGCCTGTTGGGGATAATTACCATACCAAGCTTTTCAACAAAGAAGGACAGGTTTTTAATTTATTCATTCAAACGTCATTTGATAGAAGGAGAAATTTCTTAATTGCATAAAAAATATTTTAGTCTTTATATTTTGATTGTAATTTTTTGGATTTATCTTTTTATGTTGTAGTTTTTCATTAAAAAAAATAGGTTTCTTTTAACAATTATCTAAATTATTATTTATTTTCTTTTAATGATTTTGTTCTTAACATCTATCCTTCTAATTTTAAACAAGGAAATCTCTTGGCACGAAGCAACTAAAACTATTTCTACAGTAAAAAAATCTCATTCTCGTTTTACAAGTGGAGGTAAACGTCATCCAGGATCCCTCCGTAAGTATCACGGCAATCAAGATATGGCTGACGGCAGTTACAATGGAGTATATGCAGAAGGCCCAGCTGGAAGTGACGCGGATAGATGTGCTATAATGTGAACGAAACCTCGATTCTTGATTATTATTTATAATTTTATTTACACATTATTCACTGAAAATTTATGATTTCGAATAAGTCACTTTACATATCTTTAAAATGTCTAAAACAATGGCAACTCTTCTTTTTTTTAAAAAAAAATTGGTACTTGTTATTTTGTGATCGCCAAAATAATTTAAAAATGATTATGAACATGTTTCTTTCATTCTATATATATTGATTAAATATATTCATTCATCGGTCTTGTCATAAATACCACCTTAAAAAACTAAAAGTATATTATATTCCATACCATATAAACCTATATGTTTACTCAGATCCGTCATTTTTTACTTAACTAGTTTAACTGTACATTAAATTATTTGTTTCATTAATTATTGGTGTTTTTTTTTCAAATATAAAATGTGATAACCTCCATTTTCTTGCCCCTTTTTTCAAATTATTATTTTTTAAAAATAATTAACTAAATTGTAAAATACGAAATATTTTTAAAAATTATGTTTATTTAAAAATTTTATTGTCTTTATAAATATATTTAAAAAATTTTTTTTAATGTCATTTTAATTTACTCTCATTTTATAAAAAAAAAATTATTGTAAAACTGTATATATATTTTTTTTCAATGACACAAAACAAAAGTATAAATAAAGTTTAGACCCTAGTGTATGCATTGAAGGAATTTTTCTTAGAGGGGTTACAAAAAAAATGAGAAGATAACCTTAATTATCGAAAAAATGAGTTAACTTTAAAAATTATTTAGGAAAAATTAATAATTATTAACTAACATATTTTTTATGTAAATAAAAAGAATTAAATATCAGCAGCATGAAGAAAACATCCACAAGTTTTTTTTAATTTTACTGTACTATGTTGTTCAGGCTAAAGTCTAGTGTAAGTTAGGCTATATTACATTACATGAAATAATTAAATTGGATTTTTTTGAGTTAGACATTAAAGAAATCTTGTGGATAATTTAGGGATTGGCTTCAGTTAAAAGTAGGCCTTCAAAAACGAACGGGATAATAAATTATTCGCATTCGATTCTTTTGAGCAAATTGAAAAGTTTTTTAATCATGCCACGCGAATATAAATGGTATATTTTACTATTCGTTTCGTTTAGAATAATTGAATATGATTCAATTTGGATTCGTTTTGAGTAAGCCTAGCTTAAGAGTTTCTTTATATTATATGATTTAAGTGAATTGTTATTTAGTAACAAATTTTATATTTTTCGTGATAAAAATATTGTTTATAAATATAGCCACCCTTCGAGCAGCTATAAACAGGAAACCTAGCCTTTATTTGTAACGGTTTAGTTTTGTTATGATTTAGTATATGGAACGGTTCATAAGAAGAAATATATAAAGGTTCGGTTCAGCAAATTGGTTATAAATTCATTTTTTATTGAAGCAACACCATCGTATATGATTTTAATTAATCATAATTATTTATTAAAATTTTTCCATCACTTAAGTTCATATTTTCATAAATCGAATAAACCCTCAATCGTAATGACTTCTCCAGATATAATTATTAAAATATTACTTAAATCCAATATTTAAAAATATATATTTTATTTCAATTTAAGAGCACCTCCTCTGATGGCGATACCCTATAATTAATTTTCAACTATATTCTTTTCTCTTATTTTATTTCTTTAATATAAATTAAGCATCAATATTTCCAATAATCAATGAATGATACTTTTTTCCAAATTTCTTTTTCAGTGGAATAATCAAAATAGCTCTTTCGAAGTTAATACATCTGTTAAGAGAAATTATTTACATCATGAGAATACAACACGCTAACCCTTATCCGATCAAGTGTCCTTATATTTAAAAAAAATGGTACAACATAAAATATGCCTTTATATAATAATTTATAAATTTTTCATTTAAATTGTTCATATTACGCCAAGGTTTGTTGCAAATATATTGCTGATATGCGGCTGGGTTGAACATTATTGTTTTAAAATCTAAGTAGTCATCATATCCTACAGCCTGAGGTATTAGCATGTTTCCCACCAGGTTGAACATCATTGTCCAAATATATCAACACGGTGATTAATGAATTTTAGCTGGAATTTTTAGTCTCCTGACAGGAAATTACGATCTTATCATCATTGATCATAATTTTTCAGATCACCACATAGGAGGAAGCTGTTGGATTCGTCTTAAAATAAAAATAAAGAAATACGGCTTTTTTGTCCATAGGAGATCATTGATAGGAGGTCGCTGTTTGATTCATTTTATTTACGATGATCGAATATGCCACCATGAATTATCATATTTTGGAAAACGAATTTATACACTTCACTTATATGATTTTAATTTATTCCAAATTATATTTTTTTGGATAATTTAGCATATTTCAGAAATTTATACACTCGAATCATTTCCTACATGAATTTAACTTATTCTAAATTATATTTTTTGGATAATATGGCAGCATCGCATCATCCCCTGAAAAACGATTTCTAATTAATTGATGAATATTTTCTATTCCGCTATTACTTTAATAATAATATCATTAAATAATATATTGGCACTTGAAAACCTATCTATTTTCCTCCTAATACTCCAATATCGAATTTCTCTATGAAATTTATTTTCTTTTAAAAATATATTTGAATATTCCAAATTTTCGAATATTTATTATTTTATTTTACTTTGATAATATATTAATTCTGAAATTTATTTTCTTCCAATTTTAGAATATTTATTATTATACTTTGATAATATAGTAATTCCCACATAGACTTAGCCAGGATTTTTCTAAAGGGGGGGGGGGAATTCAAAAATTTCTGGGAACTTCGCCCCCCCCAGACCCAATTTTGTGCCTTAGTCTATATATATATTCATAAAATATTTTTAGAAGATAGGATGTTAATTTTAATAAAAAAATAAATATTATCTTTATTTAAATCAGAGACCTGCAGGCCCGGCCCGGGTACCAGGGCCGGGCCGTATTTTAAATTTTTAAAATATACCCGGGCCGGGCCTGAAAAATTTGTTTTAAAAATACCCGGGCCGGGCCGTATTTTTTTAAAAAATTTATTCAACATGAATTATTATATTCGTCAATTAGATATGGTTATAATGATTATATATAGTTATGATTAATATAATGTTTGGTGAAAGTTAACACTAGCTAACACTCATAGAATCTATTACATAATAAAATTATAGTTTTCCTGCCATGGAATAAATACGCAAAGGATTAAATACATTATTATATAATATATATGTTATATTTTTTATTAAAAATATCATTTTTATTTTTTTTATAAATACATAGTATCTCAAAATTTTATTTACACAAATTTTTTATAGTATCAATTTGTAATATACTAAATATCTGTTTAGAATAAAAAAAAATAAAAAACAGCTAACTCAGTGTTTTATCCAGAAAAATATTATGCAAGCCTGAAAATTTTGCTCATAGAAGGAGCAAAGGTCTAGACATATAGTATCGAAATTTCGAGGCTTAGTCAATATTTTTGGCGAAAATATTGAGTTAGCCGTTTTTAAAAATCGGCTCAAAACGAGCCGTTTAACAATATTAGTTAATATACTTGCTTATTAAATTATAATACTCGCCGAAAAATATGATAAAATACGAAATAATAAATTTTTTGAATATACCAGGTCGAATATAATTTTTAAAAATTCCGAGCAGAGCCTAAGAATTTTTTTTTGAAATATTCGGGCCGGGCCGGGCCTAAAATTTTTAAACCCGGGCCGGGCCAGGCCGTAAAAAATTTTTGGGAAAAAAATCCGGGCCGGGCCGAAAACTTTTTAATCTGGGCCGGGCCGTACGGTACCTCTGCAGGTCTCTGATTTAAATATAAGAAATTGGTCAAGAGATTATATCAAAAAATAAGCCTGGAACAAATTGGAAATATATTTTTATTAGTTTATATAAAATATAATAAATTACATATATTCATTATTACAAAAGCATGGTAATAATTTATTACAAACAGGTATAAGAAATTTCTTTATAAAAGATAAGTAGACATATAGTTGATATTCCTCTATTATATAGAATTGGTTACAAAATATTAGGTAGAATTCCACTTTTACAGACATATTTGACAGTTATAGAATATATTACAGTTAATTTAATAAATTTTACTAATCAATGTTTTTGATAATATATATAACAATTTGCATTCAATTCTTTAACGCTATCTATTTTCTTTAAATAAAAATAGATATTAAAAATTAATCATCATATTATTCATACATAACACAATCAGGGTTGCCATGTCTCCCCCAATCAGCGGGAGACTCCCGCAATTTTTTATTAAGACAATTTTAGAATATTTACGATCAAAATTTGATTTTAATAACTCTATTTACAAATGTATAAATATTATGACCTTGGAACAGAAACCGTCAATTGATGGTTTTTGTAATTTAATAAATATATTAGAAATACCGAAAGACGTTGATGTCTTGTTTGAGGAGATTGTAATTCTCTCTATTTTTTATGATTCGCCAGAATACTTAAAGTTAGATTGTCTAAAAGCAGAGGAGAAACGGGTAGAATTTTTTCAACAATAAATCCCCATGCTTGGAAAAAAATTGCGAGTATGTCTTCTTTACCTCATTCTCATGCCTCATCCGAGGGCATTTTTAGCCTGATGAGGACTGCCTGGGAAAAAGATTGCTTTAACAACATTAGAGGCCGAGCTAATGGTTAAACAAATTTATAATATGTCATGCCAGGAATTTTTCAATAACGACGGTAGACGTTTAGTTCCATTATTTAAATCTCAAATAATATATAATTAATATTATATTTAATTTTACTTATTTTTTATTTATACATTCGCATAAAATAAATATATTTTTTATATTGTAAATCAAAAATAGAGAGCATTACAATATGCATAATTTTGTGAATCTTTGTTAAGATTCTTCTGATTGCAACTGCACATTAACAGTATGTAGTAGATTTCCTACATGTGAAATCATTCCTAAATATACCTCTGCCATTCATTACTGATAAAAATTTTCAAAATGTTAGGACAGCTTTTATAATCTTTATTTAAGAAATATTTAAAGGTTAATAAAATTTTAAAATTCTATAGATGGCGGGTATTTGGAACATATCGCAACCAACATAGTGCTGACTCAATTCTGTAAATACACTCTGGTTTTTTCCAAATTCACTGAGGCATTATCAGATCATAAAGTTGACATGTAATTTATTGATAATCCCGATACCATTATATGGTTAGCTATGTCTTTGGATTTTTCACTATTTGAGGGGAAAAAATTTAATAGTTTTCTTGAAACGTCCTTAATTTTGTTGAAATAGTGAAGGATCAAAAAAAATATTTTAATATTTCCCTTATTAGATGCATCTGTTAGAATTGCATATGTATGCCTATCTTTCAAATCGTCAAGAATTGACCTCCTGAATTCAGGTTCTAAAACATTGATGATATCCTTGCTCATTTTTGTTCTACAAATAAAGTTTTCATTTATCTTGGAGTCGTTAAATATTATGGGGAAAGATTCTACCTACATTGTAATGATAAGTAGCTTTGTGAATGTTGTACTACAAGATAAGTAATCACAATTGCTGCAACCGTAGTTGCATCTGTATTATTTCTTATTTTTGGAGAATATTTTTGTTTTGCAATAGATG